AGGTTGAACAGGTATAAAAAGGCGAGTGGAAGTATACCCAAAAATATGTAAAGCTTTGACAGAGGTATTTGTAAATATGCATTTACTTACCTTTGCTGCAAAAAAATATCCACGAATGTGGTGGAGCATGTTGTTGCTCTTGTTAAGTGCCATTAAGTCATTTTCGACTCATAGCTGTATAGGGTTTCCAAGGAGTGGCTGCTGGGTTTGACCCAGTGATTATCCTAAAGTGCCACACCAGTGGTGGAACATAAATGGGGCAAAATTATGAAAACTTCTTTGCAAAATCAATGACTTCTTTATTGGAACCCTTTTTGAAACAGCATAAAAGAATATTATACACATGGACCTCACCAGAGGAAAGAGATGGTGGAAAAGCTCCATATCATCAATCAAAACAAGACCAGGGGCAGACTGTGAAACAGACCATCAATTGCTCATATGCAAGTTCAGGCTGAAGCTGAAGAAAATTAAAACATGTCCACAAGAGCCAAAATATGACTTTGAACATATCCAACCTGAATTTAGAGATCATCTTAAGAGCAGATTTGATGCATTAGGCACTGAAGACCAAAGACCAGAAGAGTTGGGGGATGACATCAAGAATATCTACAGGAAGAAAATCAAAGGTCATTAAGAAGACAAAAAAAAAGGAAAAGACCAAAATGGATGTCAGACTCAGAAACTTGATCTTCAGCAGAGAGATACTAATGAAAATGGAAGAAATGAGGAGGTAAAAGACCCAACAGAAACTTTCAAAGGTCATCTCAAGAAGACAAAGTCAAATATCATAATGAAATGTGCAAAGACCTGCAGTTAGAAAACCAAAAGGGAAGGACACATCCAGCATTTCTCAAGTTGAGGGAACTGAAAAAAAAAAAAAAAAATTGCAACCCTCGACTTGAAATATTAAAGGATTCTCTGGGCAAAATACTGAATGATCAAAAGAAGAAGGAATATACAGAGTCACTGTACTAAAAAGAAATGGTCAATGTTCAACCATTTCAAGATCATATGATCAAGAGCCAGTGATCCTGAATGAAGAAGTCCAAGGTATATTAAAGGCATTGGCAAACAACAAGGCACCGGGAATTGATGGAATACAAATTGGAATCTTACAACAAATTGATGCAGCACTGGAGGCTCTCACTCATCTATGCCAAGAGATTTGGAAGACAGCTACCTGGTCAACTGATTGAAAGAGAACCATACTTGTGCCCATTCCAAAGACAGATGACCTAATGGAATGCTGAAGATAAATGGCTACAACAGTACAGTGACAGAGAACTGGCCGAGGTTCAGTCTGGATTTAGATGAGTTCATGGAAGGAGGGATATTACTGTTGATGTCAGATGGATCTTGAATGAAAGCAGAGACTATGAGAAAGATGCTCACCTGTGTTTTATTGATTATGCAAAAGCTTTCAATTGTGTGGATCATGGCAAACTATGGAAAACATTGTGGAGAATGAGTATTCTGGAACACTTAATTGTGCTCATGAGGAACCTGTACATAGACTGAGAAGCAGTTGTTCAAATAGAACAAGGGTAAACTGAATGGTTTAAAATTAAGAAAAGTGTGCACCAGGGTTATATTCTTTCATCATACTTATTCAATCTGTATGCTGAGCAAATTATCCGAGAAGCTGGGTTATATGAAGAAAAATGTGGCATCAGGATTAGAAGACGACTCATTAACAACCTCAATATGCAGATGATACAACCTTGCTTGCTGAAAGCAAAGATCAAAGAACACAGCCTTCAGTAAGGGTTACACCTCAATGTAAAGAAAACAAAAATCCTCACCACTGGACCAATAAATAACATCATGATAAATGGAGAAAAGACTGAAGTTGTCAAAGACTTCATTTTGCTCAGCTCAACATCAACACTCATGGACGCAGCAATCAAGAAATCAAACGATGTACTGCATTAGGCAGATCTGCTGCACAAGACCTCTCACCGCTCTAAAGTGTCCAAGAGCAAAGATGCCAGCTTGAAGACTAAAGTGTGCCTAACCCAAGCCATGGTATTTTCAATAACCTCATATGCATTTGAAAGTTTGACAGTCAATAAGGAAGATCGCAGAAGAATTGATGTATTTGAGGAGAATATTAAAATTACTATGGACTGTCAAAAGAACAAACAAATCTGTGCTTGAAGAAATACAGTCAGAATGCTCTTGGAAGGCAGGATGGCCACACTTTGTCTCTCATACTTCAGAATCAGGGCATCTTCTCGCTGGAGAAGAACATCATGTTGGTAAAGTGGAGGAACGGAGACAAAGAGGAAGACCCCTAAATAAGAGATGGACTGGCACAGTAGCAGCAGCATTGGGTTCAAGCGTAGCAATGATTGTGAGGTTGATGCAGGGCCAGGCCATGTTTCGTTCTGTTGTGCACAGGGTCGCTAAAGTCAGTACTGACTTGATGGTACCTAACAACAACAACAATCCACAAAGACAATGTTCTACATCCTACTTTGGTGAGTAACAACTGGGATCTTAAAATGCCATTACTGACCATCTAAAGTGTTAACTATTGGTCTCTCCCTGTCCAGAGGTAAAAAGAGTGATGAAAATTGAAGCTGTGTAGAAACAATTAGCACAGTAGACTAATGGACCAGGAGAATACCCATCTCCAGAACCCGGAGACCAGAAGTAGATGGTGCCCAGCTGCCACTACCAACTGCTCTGCAAGGGATCACATTAGAAGGTCCTGGATAGAGTGGGAGAAAATGCGGGACAAAACTCAAAATCATGAAAAAGACCAACGGTTGCTGGTCAGATAGAGACTGGGGGAACTTGGTTACCCTTCAGGTCTAGAACGGAGCTCACCCCCATTGTTCAATTTTCAGCCAAGAAATAGATACGTATGAAAGGGGAAAACATCACTAGTGAGGTATATACACTATAGAACGAGCAACTATTTGAGAGCAAAAGGGCAGCATTTATCCAAGGACAAAATTCTTAAGGGTGGGGAAAGAAGGAGGAATGTAAACAAGAAACACAGGGAAGTAGTGGTGTTACATTAAGAAGATTGCAATCAAGATGAAATGAAGTGTATGATTTGTTGAATGGAAAACTGATGATTTGCTCTGTAAACCTTTACTCAATTCACAGTAAGTTTTTGAAAAACTGATACTTAATCATTCAACTTCTCTCAGACTCAGTTTCATCACGTATTTAAATATATATATATATATATATATATATACCATCACAAGTTTTATTATGAGACTCCATGAGGAAATATATCTGAATGCACAGAATACACTGTAAAGCATATTATTTTATAACAGTGATGCATCAACTGATGACTATGTTCAAATGCTGATCTTATCAGATAAGTTTAAAAAAACTCTCAACCCATCTCCAAGCACAGGGTGCACCATCCCTACAAGACCATCAACTGAGCCTAAATATAGTCCAGTACAGCATTTTGGGGATTAAAGAACAAATGAACACAAGACTACATACCTCCAGTTTGTGGATGCGCCTACTATCTCCCGTAATTTATCTCGAACTGAAACAAAAATAAAGAGATCGCTCCATGAAACAAAATATAAGATGTTGATTAGGGGCAATAAGAACAAAAACTATAAAAGCGATTCATGCACCCCAAAGCTCTAAATATCTATGGAATTCCATTTAATGCCACAACAAAGAGTTCAAGGAAGGGATCAGGCCTCTATTCCCTGAAAACCTGAAACAACTACTCAATTTTCTATGCAAAAAAACTCCCACAAAATGTCCTCATGCCAATCACTGGGGGTTTATATAAACCAATGAAAATGAATAACTCCAGTTAACTCATCCAACGGAGCTGTACCCATGTCAGTAGACGAGTCCCTTTCTGATGGAGTCTCGCTCACTATGAACAGACTCCACACCTTATAAGCAATGTTAGGAAAAATTATTTAGTTCAGGAACTAATACTTGGTCACCAAAATATTCAAATCTGAGCCTTATTATAACTGATTTCTTCTATATTCAATAGAAAAGTTTAAGCCAGAAAAATGAGCAAAGCAATGTAAGGCAAAGTATACAATATAATTTTAGTTAACACCCACAGTCTAAACGTGCAAGAATTAGTGCTAAAAAACAAGCGCTTTAAAAAAGTTGATTCAAATTACCACACACCATGATTCACATGTGTAGGTGAACATGCTATATGGATGAAGGGAAAACAAATTAGATAACCAGTATTGATACAAAAGTAAAAAATGAATTTGTGTTATTTCAAATAATGTGTTGAATTAATTTTTTTCCCTAGCATCTCAAAATACACATTCTAGTTTATAGAACCTTCTGGTTCATAGTCCAGTGCTTATCCTATAGCGCCATACCAGGACTTCATATATTTTGGATGAACAAGGACTACTATATAGCTATATATTAGCTATTAACAATAGTAGTCCTTGTTCATGACTCCTGGTGTACTGCTGTTAAAATCAGAACTGGACTGCGAACCACAAGGTCAACAGTCCAAACCTACCAGCTGCTCCTTGGAAACCCTATACAGGATCATTACGAGGTGGAACCAACTTGACAGCATTTACCAACAACAATGTATATATTAGCAATAGCAATCCTTGTTCATTCAGTAACTTAAATAAAGTCAAATACAGTTAGATTAAGGAGCTCTGGTAGCCTAGTGGTTATGAGTCAGGCTGCTAAACCTCAAGGTCAGCAGTTCGAAACTACCAACAGTTCACAGGAGAAAAATGAGGCTTTCTACTCCCATAAAGATTTATAGCCTTGGAAACCCTGTGCAGGGTCGCTACGAGTCGGAACCGACTCCACGGCACACCACCACCACCATAGTTAGATTAACATTCACTTAGGCTCTCATGCTTTTCTTCTGTCAAACAATTGTGTATATACTATAGATTTGGTGTAAGCTCCAATTACAATAAAGTCATAGAGAACTGCAAAAAATAATTCATAAATAAGTTGTCCAATGCTGTGCTACATCTTTCTCCCACAAAGAAGTTGGTAAGTTTAAACCACTAACATTTTGGTTAGCAACCAAGAGGTTTAACCATTGCACCTCCAGGGCTCTGGCAAATTAGTCTTACTTCTAATATTGTCCTCATTTCTTTGAATAAAAGAATGTGCACAAAGTACCACAAACAGAATGCACACCACTGATGCTCACTGACATAAAATGATTACTAGTTTTGTCAGTGTTAGGGACTCCTGGTGTGGCGCTGTAGTATTAGCATCAGACTGCGAACCACAGGTCAGCAGTTCAAGTCCCCCAGTTGCTTCTTGGAAACCTTATACAGGGTTGCTATGAGTTTGGAACTGACTTGATGGCATTTAACAACAAGAAGTCAGTGTAAGGAGAGGCAGATGCTGAGGGTCAAGGAGGCAAGTGCAGTTTTAATTGATACACCATACATACACATATATTTATTTGGGCCCTTTAAATAAGTCACAATGTCAATTATAATGAATACTACTAAACTGATAGACAATCCATAGTTTGAATATCAGATTAGTAATTGCAATTCATTTCAATTAAGCATGAGTTAACAGTATCCCTCTATAAAACTATGAACTAGAAGCATTTAAGGAGCACTGGTAGTGTACGAGGTTACACACTGGGCTGCCAACTGCAAGGTCAGCAGTTCAAATCCACCAGGCGCTCTATGGGAAAAAGAGGAAGCTTTCTGCTCCTGTAAAGATTTACAGCCTCAGAAACCCTACAAATGGTCGCTGAGTCGGAAACCACTCAACAGCAAGCAGCAGCAGGAACATTTAGTTGGTATAGCTGAAGGGCCTACTTTTTTATTTTTATTTTTTAAATGTTTACTTGTGCTTTATTGACTACGCAAAAGTTTGTATGTTTTTTTAAGCTTTTGTTGTGAATTGATAGAATTGGGAGAACATCGGTTTTACACTCATCCTATTGTATTTTGTTTCATTGCAAAGATTACAATCCCCTTTATGCATCATCATTTAACAGTATTTGCTTCTATTCCCTCTGTTTTGGGATGTTCACAGTAACACTCAGGAACATATAATCATTTAAACAACCAAAGGGCACATTCTGCAAGCCTGTCTCCTGGCTGCCAGCACAGTCTTTCTCTTTCCATGAGTCTAGAGTCTTCAGCTGCTCTAGCTCTCCATGCCATCACCTCTGTTTCCATCTCTGGTGTCACCGCTTTTCTGGTTAGCGTCCCACATTCTGCTCGTGCTCTTCTCCCTTGATGGTCCTAGGGTCCTCTGTTCCTGGAATGTAAGATTAACTACTCCCCCCTTTATGTTACAAAGCTTCTACCTTTACAGTTGTGACAATCACAATTAGTCATGATAACAATGACTCACTATTGAATCATAAGAATCGTATCCCCATCTCCTGAAGGGCATACTTTTTACTTACACATTAGGTTTTTTGGGGTTTGTTTTTTTTGCCATGCCTCCCCCTTCAGTAAGGAGCTCTGATAGCGTAGTGCTTACAAGTCGGGCTGCTAACCTCAATGTCAGCAGTCAAAACTACCAGTGGTTCTGCAAGAGAAAGATGTTCTGCTACTGTAAAGATTTACAGCCTCGGAAACCCTATGCAGGGTCACTATGAGTGGGAACTGACTCCACAGAACATCACCACCACCACCACCTTCCGTATCTATGCACAGGAAGTGGACATCATTTAGAGTTTAGTCCCCAAGGTACCCAGAAACAATAGCTGAAATTCTGAATGTGATTTTTACCCAAAGCTATTACAGCTGCTGTTCTAGTTATTTATAAACAAAACACTTTGTAAAACATCTACCTTTAACGCCCCTGATGTTCCCTAAACTATTGTTCTAGAAGCCTCCCAGAGGGTTTTTTGGGTTTTTTTGCCACATCAGAATAAAAGGTAAACACTTTTCCTTGCCTTCCTGAATGTGGAGGGGTCCTTGTTTCTTGGGATCCTGAGATCCTTGCGTCAGTCTTCTGCCAGGAGTAAGCAGCCCCTTGTATAAGGTACTAAGCCTGTGAAATAAAACAAAATTTAAAGTAGGTTTCATGGTTCTTCCTTGGCAACTTCAAAGACCTGTGCCTCTTCCCAGAGTACCTGGCCACGTGCCCTTAGTAGATACTATCTCAGAAGGGTCTATAGTTGTTTCACAAGTATATGTACATTTCCAGTTATTTTTGTTGTTAAGTGCCGTTGAGTCAGTTCCAACCCAAAGCGACCCTGTATAGGGTTTCCAGGGGCAGCTGGTGAACTTGAACCACCGACCTTGTAGTTCAAATGGCTTTGCAGTCTGGCGCCACACCAGGAGTCCAATTTATAATGGTTCAACCAGGTTTAATGCATTTATTCTTGCTCTCCTTTATTAGCTACAGAAGCCCAGAATCGATTTGGCAACCAGCTGAGCAAATTATGAACATTCAGTCTGCTCTTTACTATCACACCATATTTCCTCAATAAACAAATTAACCCCAACCAAAAGTTAATCAACTTTGAATCCCGAATTAACCCTTTCGAGACTCAGAGAAATTGTTGGACTTACACAGAAACCTCTTAAACCCTCACTAGAATGAATTGAAAGCTATTTCCCCAAATTTGCCTAACCTGTTCTCCACAAATAAGTTATTTTAACTTGGTTTTAGCTCACTATGGCTAAAGAACTGCCTCCTCACCATGACATCACAAAAAAGATTAAACTTTATTTTATAACATTTATAAAGATAGGAGCCCTGGTGTGGTGGTGTGGGTTAATGCACTAGACTACAAGATCAGTTTGAACCTCAAGGTTGGCAGTTCAAGGTCACCAGCTGCTCCTTGGAAACCCTATACAGGGTCGCTAAGAGTCAAAACTGACTCGACAACACTTAACCACAACACACACACACACACACACACACACACATATATGTATATATATACATATATATATAAAGCTAAAGAGCCATGGCAGCGTAGGCATTAGGAGCTAGGCTGCTAACCAACCACAAGATCGGTAATGCTAATCTACCAGTCGCTCCACAGAAGAAAAATGAGGCTTTCTGACAGAAAAATTTACGGCCTCGGAAGCCCTATATGGGTCACTATGAGTCGGAATTGCATCGATGACACACAACCACCGCCACCATGTATAAAGATGCCATCTATAAACAGCAATGGTACTATTTGGTGTGATACCAGCATTTTATCCTAAGGATCAAAGGCGGCTATCTCAATGCTATTAGAGAGCACAAGAAGCAAACAGGTCCATGAGGGACACAGACCAAGTGGGTCACCTCATTAAGATTATGCTCAAACTACTGTCTAGACTGGCCACACACTACTACTGGGATTGAAGGCAAGGCATTGACAAGGTCATGAACCCCATATCTGTCACCTCATTCTAATTCAAGTTCCTAGTAATTCTCACTACCCAGTGTCCAGTCAAGTAATGCCTAACAAAAAAAACAGTGTTAGTTTTAGAGCTCCAGTCACTGTAGATTACTCTGCTGGATTACAGCATTCAGGAATAATCTCAGTAAAAACATTTTGTGAAATCTACATTGTAGTTTTAACACTAGTGCTGCTGGAATAAATCCTGCCTATGTTGAGAGGTAGTATAAAAGAGAGGTGGAGATGGTAACCACGCTGTTTATTAACTGAGTAACACTGGGCAAGTTATCCAACTTCTCTGAGCCTCAGTTACCTTATTTGTTAAATAGGGATAATAACTGGACTGCTAACCAAAGGTCAGTAGTTCAAACCCACCAGTCGCTCCTCAGAAACCTGGAACCAACTCGATGGCACTTAACAACAACATCCCATTAAGACTGGCTTACGAATAAAGAAGTGAACACATGTTAAACTCATAGGAGAGGTTCCTAGTACACTGACAAGTCCTAGAAAGTGTTGTTGTTGTTGGTGGTGTGCCATGGAGTCGGTTCCAACTCATAGCAACCCTGGGTTTGTTGCAGTCGGCAGTTCAAACCCACTAGCTGCTCCTCTGGAAATCCTGTACAGGGTCACTATGAGTCGAACCAACTCGATGGCACTTAACAGCATTATTATTCCAAGGAGTCCTGGTGATGCAGTTGGCCTGCTAACAGCAAAGTTGGTGGTTCAAACACACCAGTAGCTTCTCAGGAGAACGATGAGCTGTAGGCTCTCATAAAGCTGAGATTCTCTAAGGAATATGTCCACTCTGTTCTATTAAGTCACTGTGAATCAGAATCGACTAGATAGTAGTAGGTTTTTTGGATTATTATTCCAAAAAGTGAAATTTCTCCAAAATCTCTCCTAACAGTAAAAAAGAACCAGAAATTTAGATGAACCATCTCTGAATGTAGAACCAAATGGAAAAACTGGAGGAAACTAATGAATACAGAGAAATAATTGGGCCAATTTATTTAGAAAATTATGGTCCTATAGCCTTGTTCTTTGCATGTGTACCTTACGAAATTTGGAAAGACCAAAACTACTGATCTGATAGAGACAGAGCCCACAGTCCTTAGTCACCCTTTCAGCACAGAACTAAACTCAACCCCTTGGTTCAATTTTCAGCCAAACATTAGACAGGTCTATAAGGTAAACAATAACATTAGGGAGGGATGCACATCCTATAGCAATCAGGCATTAGCATTCTTTAGAATAGTCAACAATTCAAGATCAAACAGCAGTATCAGCCCAAAGATAAAGAGCAGAAGGCAAGAAGGGTTAGGAACCGCCTTAACAGGACATAACAACAGACTACTGATATAATAGGGTTGCTATGAGTCTGGTAGTGTAGTGGTTACGAATTGGACTGCTAACCTCAAGGCTGGCAGTTCAAATCTACCAGCTCAGCTGTTCCGTGGGAGAAAGATGAGGCTTTCTGCTCCTGTAAAGATCTGCAGCCTTAAAAACCCTGTGCAGGGTCACTATGAGTTGGAACCGACTCAACGAGTCAAAGGTGTGGTGCTGTGAGTTAATGCGCCAGACTGCAAAGCCAGTTGAACTGCAAGGTCGGCGGTTCAAGCTCACCAGCTGCTCCTTGGAAACCTAATACAGGGTTAATATGGGTCGGCACTGACTCGACGGCACTTGACAACAACAACATGAGTCAAAAGAGTCCTGGTGTGGTGTCGTGGGTTAATGCACTGGTAAGATCGGCAGTTCAAGCTCACCAGGCACTCCTCAGAAATTCTACACAAGGATGCTATGAGCCGAGACTGACTCAAGAGCACTTAACAACAACAATGAGTCAAAACCCTGGTGGCACAATGGATTAAGCCATGGGCTCAAACCCACCAGCCACTACTCAGGAGATATATGAGGTATTCTGTTTCTGTAAAGATTTACATCCTTGGAAATCCTATGGAGCAGTTCTATTCTGCCCTATAGGGTCACTGTAAGAGTCAGATTTGACTGAGATATAAGATAACTGACCACCATCGTCTGTCAGTTTGTCGAACTGGTGGTTTGTGAGTTGCTGTGATTCTGAAAGCTATGTCACGGGTATTTTAAATACCAGCAGGGTAACCCATGGTTGACAGGTTTCAGATGAGCTTCCAGATGAAGACAGACTAGAAAGAAGGAGTGACGAACTACTTCTGAATATTTAGTCACTGAAAACCTTATGAATAGCAGAGAAACACTGTCAAATACAGTGCCAGAAAATGAGCCCATCAGGGAGAAAGGCACTCAAAATGTGACTGGTGAAGAGCTGCCTCCTCAGAGTAGAGTTGACCACGATGATGCTAATAGAGTAAAGCCCGTGGGAGTAAAGCCAGAGGTACCTTCATTTGCTGATGGGGCACAACTCAAAATGAAGAGAAACAGCTGTAAACCATCCATTAATAATCAGAAGTACTAATCTAGGAAAATTGGAAGTTGTCAAAAATAAACAGAATGCATAAACAAAACATCGATATGAGCTGAAATGGACTGGTATTGGCCACTTTGAATCGGAAAACCACATGGTTTACTATGCCAGGAATGACAAATTGAAGAGGAATGCTATTGCATTCATCATCTAAAAGAACGTACAATGCTGTCTGTGATAGGATAATATCCATGCATCTACAGGGAAGACTGGAGTCCTGGCGTGGCGCTGTGGGTTAATGCACCAAACTGCAAAGCCATTTAACTGCAAGGTTGGCAGTTCAAGCTCACCAGCTGATCCTCGGAAACCCTATACAGGGTCACTGTGGGTCGGAATCGACTCGACAGCACTTCACAACAACCACAAACAGGGAAGCCCAGTTAATACCACTAGTATTCAAATTTACGCACCAACCACTAAAGCCAGTGAGGACGAAATAGAAGAATTCTACCAAATTCTTCAATCTGAAATTGATCAAACATGCAATCAAGATGTATTGATCATTACTGGTAATTGGAATGCAAAGGTTGGGAACAAAGAGGAAAGATTAGTATCTGGAAAATATGGTCTTGGTGACAGAAATGATGCTGGAGATTACATGATAGAATTCTGCAAAACCAATGGTTTTGTTCATTTCAGATACCTTCTTTAGATATCATGAGAGATGACTATACACATGGACCTCACCAGATGGAATACAGAGAAATCACATTGACTACATCTGCAGAAAGAGACAGTGAAAAAGCTCCATGTCATCAACCAAAACAAGGCCAGGGTCAGACTGTGGAACAGACCATCAATTGCTCATATGCAAATTCAGACTGAAGCTGAAGGAAATGAAAACAAGTCCACGCAAGCCAAAATATGACCTTGAATATATACCACCTGAATTTAGAGATCATCTGACGAATAGATTTGATACATTAAACACTAATGACCGAAAACTAGAAGAGTTGTGGGATGATATCAAGAACATCATACATGAAGAAAGCAAAAAATCATTAATAAGACAAGAGAGAAGGAAAAGGTCAAAATGGATGTCAGAAGAGACATTGAAACTTGCTCTCCAGCATAGAGAGATGCTAAAACAAATGGAAGAAATGAGGAGGTACAAGAGCTGAACAGAAAATTTCAAAGGTCAGCTACAGAAGACACAGTTAAACATTACAACGAAATGTGCAAAGATCTGGAGTCAGAAAATCAAAAGGGAAGAACACGCTCAGGATTTCTCAAGCTGGGGGAACTGAAGAAAAAATTCACCTTCAAGTTTCATTATTGAAGGATTCTCTTGGCAAAAATTACTGAACGATGTGGAAAGCATCAAAAGAAGATGGAAGCAATACACAGAGTCACTGTACCAAAAGGAAATGGTTGATGTTCAACCATTTCAAGAGGTAGCATATGATCAAGAGCCAATGATACTGAAGAAAGAAGTCCAAGGTGCATTGACGGAACTTGCAAAGAACAAGGAATGGGAATGCAGAAATCATCCAACAATCTCTTTGCTATCCCACGCAAGTAAAGTTTTATGAAAGGTAATATAGAAACAGCTACAATCATACATTGACAGAGAACTTCCAGAGGTTCAAGCCTGGTTCAGAAGAGGCCGTGGAAGGAGGGATATCATTGCTGATGTCCGATGGGTCTTGGTTGAAAGCAGAGACTATCAGAAAAAATGTTTACCTGTGCTTTATTGACTATGCAAAGGCTTTCAATTGTATGGATCATGACAAGCTACGGACAAGTATTAGTATCCCGAAACACTTAATTGTACTCATGAGGAATCTGTACATGGACCAAGAGGCAGTTGTTCAAACAGAACATGGGAACACTGAATGGTTTAAAATTAAGAAAGGTATGCGACAGGGTTGTATTCTTGCACCATACTTATTCAACCTGTATGCTGAGCAAATAATACGAGAAGCTGGGTTATATGAAGGAAAATGTGGTATCAGGATTAGAGGAAGACTCATTAACAACCTGAGATATGCAGATGATACAACCTTGCTTGCTGAAAGTGAAGAGGACCTAAAATACTTACTGATGAAGATCTAAGACCACAGTATGGATTGCATCTCAATGTAAAGAAAACAAAATCCTACCAATAAACAACATTCTTACCAACGGAGAAAAGACTTGTCAAGGATCTTGACTGATCTTGGATCAACTATCAACACTCACGGAAGCAGCAGTCAAGGAATAAAATGGCATACTGCACTAGGCAAATGTGCTGCACAAGACCTTTTTAAAGTGTTGAAGAGCAAAGATGTCAGCTTGAGGACTAAAGTATGCCTGATGCAAGCCATGGTATTTTCAATAACCTCATATGCATGTGAAAGCTGGACAGTGAATAAGAAAGACTGTAGAAGAATTGATGCATTTGAGTTATAGTGTTGGAAGAGAATACTGAAAGTGCCATGGGCTGCCAAAAGAACCAATAGATCTGTGTTGGAAGAAGTGCAGCCAGAGTGCTCCTTGGAGGCCAAGATGGCCAGACTTTGTCTCTCATACTTCGGCCATGTTGTCAGGAGGGACCAGTCACTGGAGAGAGATATTATGTTTGCTAAGGTGGAGGGTCAGAGAAAGAGGAAGACTCCCAGCAAGGTGAATTGGCAAAGTGACAGCATCAATGGGCTCAAGTGTGGCAACAATTGTGAGGTTGGCCCAGGACTGGGCAGTGTTTCGTTCTGTTGTGCATAGTGTTGCTATGAGTTAGTACCGACTCAATGGCACTTAACAACAACAACAACATTGATAACTGATAACTGTGGGCTCTCATAATAAGAAAAAAAAAACTCCCAGTTTTACTGATACACAAAATAATATATACTATTTCAGAAGGTTCATAAGCCACGCCCTTTAATACCCTCATGGGGTCCTATATTTAAAAATTCAGAGTCAAACCAACCTCCTGAAGAAACTGAAGCCCAGAGAAATTAGATACCTTTTCTCCAGTGCCAGGCAACTGGCACACTGGCAGAATCTAGGTAGAATCCAGGTATTCTGGTCACCTCCCCCACCTCTATCTAGCAACACACACACACAGACAGAGACTAGTGGGTTTTTTCAGTCCCCAGCTGCTTCCCTTCATATATGTAGCACTGAGGTAGAGGAAATGGGAGAAAAATTTAATCATGACTCCAATGTTTTGGTACCTCAGGAGTCATAGCAAAATCTTAAGGTCCTTAGAAGACACTGTCAAGAGGCTTCAGGGACACTCTGGCCCTAGGATCCTATGATTGAACTTTTCCAGTGAATGACACAAAAGTCACCCAGAGGTGTGAATAGAAATATCTAGGCTCAGTACTATGAACTGCCAGAAGAAAAAATAAATCTGTGTTGGCACAAATACAGCCAGAAAGCTCCTTAGAAGCCTGGATGGCAAGACTTCATCTCTCATACTTCAGACATGTTATCAAGAGGAACCAATCCCTGGAGAAGGGCATCATGCTTGGTAAAGTGGAGGGTGAACAAAAAAGAGGAAGACCCCCAATGAGATGGACTTGCACAGCAGCAGCAGCAATGGGCTCAGGCGTCACAATTGTGAGGATGGCACAGGACCTGGTAGTGTTTCATTCTGTTGTGCAGAGGGTCGTTAGGAGTCAGAACCAACTCCACATCATGCAACAACAATAACAAAGGCCCGAGCAAGGTAGTTCCCTGAGCAGTAATAAGCAATGAGACGTCCTCCACTCTGTAGACTCCTGCAATTTAGAGACTAAACAAAGTCAGGTGGCTTTTGTGAGTCTTTTTAAAAATAAAGCTACGAAGGCTGCCCATCAGGCTAATAATCTAATTATCGCAGACACCTGTATTCACTATGGCGCCTTTCTCTCAATAGATACTGACAAAGAATACCTGCTTCCGGCTCAGTAGGACTCACAAGAAAGGAGCCCAGGGCTAGGGGAGTTCAGTGCAAAGGAAGAAACTTCCAAATAGGAGGAGAGGGAATCAAGAAATGAGAGACAGATGACACATGGCAAGATCATGGAGCTTGTGGAAGGCCTTTCGCATCACGGTCAATGCAAGTTAACGCCAACTGTCACCTATCTTGTAATGACTTTCGTCTTCAAATAAAGGATTGTTGTTGTTGTTGTTGTTGTTAAGTGCTATCGAGTCGGTTCCGACCCATAGCGACCCCGTAAAGAGTTTCCAAGGCTGGAAATCTTTACCGGAGCAGAAAGCCTCAGCTTTCTCCCGCGAAACCACTGGTAGTATCGAACTGCTGACCTTGAGGTTAGCAGCCCAACTCGTAACCACTACGCTACCAGAGCTCCTTTAACAAGTCTTTTATTTTTGTTTTAAGTACTATAAAGAAAAAGGAGAGCGACAGACCATTTTCCATTTTTGTTTAAAATACTGTAAAGAAAAAGGAGAGCAACAGTTTTTCTACTGGTAAAAGTGACAGCAGAGGCAGCAGCAGGGACAGTGAGAAAGGGCCAGAACCCCCAAGAGAAAGGATGGAATCAATGCCAGTCACCACTGTGTGCCCCACACTGACGACTTTGGATGCCAAAGCGGGAGGGGGGGAGGGGGGCAGGAGGGAGGGGGGTCGGAGCGGGGGCGCCCCCTAGGGCCCAGCTACTTGGAAGGGTTGGAGGATTGGGGTGAAGTGGGGTGGGGGGCAGTCAGACTCACTCTGGAGTCTAGGCCATTAGGCCTTAATTAAGTCAGCCAAGAAGATACCGCGTGGGAAAAGGCATTCTCATCCAAGTGACCCAACCAACCTCCAAGTCCCAAACAGGGGTCTTGCTGCTTATCAAAGGCAAAGTTCAAATCACCGCATGGCCCTGCCCCCGTTACAACACACCCAAGTCAGAGTCCAAGTGGGCCAAACATTGAACCCTAAAAATATTCTCCAAAAAGGGCAAAGGGCTGGAGAGGAATCTTGGAACTCCAAATACTAGTTTTCTGACCAGAGGTTACCCCCAAACGGTTTCCAACCACACCCCTGATGACCAAAGAGAAAAGGAATGTCAAACAGGGTACGCCCAACTTCCTCCCTTGAAAATACTGCTTTGGTTTTCATGTTAAATTCCCTGTCACACGACACTCGAGTGGTAACTGGGGTTCCCTCACCAGAGGCCGGCGACCTGCATCCGGGCGGGCGGCCTTCCCATCAGGGCCCCACTTTCTGCCCAAATGCCCATGGTGTTAGTCATCCCCTGCCAGTGGCCCGCTCCTTCCGCCCAGGCCCGTTAGGTGAGCAGCGGGCCAGCGTGGGGCGCCGCAGCCCGCACCCCGGTACCTACCGCAGCGCCGCCCGCCTCATCGCGCTCGGCTGTAGTGCACGCGCCAGGAGAAGCCAGGCCAGCGCGCCTTTCCGCGGAGGGAAGCCGAGGCGACCGCAGAACGCAAGCGTCAGCGCGAGCACAACCCAAGCTCCCCCGACCGCGCCCACAAAATGAGGACGCCGGGGCGGGGCCGCGTCTGCCAGGGGCGGGGCCACACCGCGTCTGACAACCCAGCCAGCTCATTGGCGGGAAACTGGAGTCAGCCACTGCGGAGCCTCCCGGTCTCGGAGCTGCTCTGAGAGTGTTGTCTGAAGAACCGGTCTATCTCTATTGGCTGATTAAATGTACCACTGCCAAGGCGTGACATGCAGGCCAAGCGCGGCCCGTTATCCTGCTTCGTTTGTGGCCGTGCCTCGGCTCACAGTCTGTCGTTCTTACCCTTGGCTGCATGTCGCAATTTCTTGGACAGCTTTACAAAATACTCATGATACCTGGGCCCCCTCCCTCAGAAGTTCTGAGGTCTGGGGTGCATCCTGGGCTTCAGGATGTCCAAAGGCACCCAGGTGATGCTAACATAAACAAAAGTTGAGAACCACTGAACTAATGGAATAAAAAATTGTTTCTCAAAAAAAAAAAAAAAATTCTCTTCCAATTTCAAGCTGTCCACTCGTGCTTGACCGTCTTAGCAGGCCCAAATAGATTTAAGCCCACAGAGTTAAAATAATCTCACCCTGTGGCTTTATTTCATTCAACGACTTTTAATTTGAGTTGCTTGCAGGGTGCTACATGCTGTTGTAGACTATGGGGATACAACAGAGACAAAAATTCCTGCCGTTAGGGAGCTTGTTGTTGTTGTTGTTGTTAATTGCCATCGAGTCGATTCCGACCCATAGCAACCCTGTATAGGGTTTCCAAGCATCAGCTGGTGAGCTTAAACCACCGACCTTGCAAGTCAAACGACTTCGCAGCCTGATGCATTAGCCCACAGCACCACACCAGGGAGCTTACTAGACATGAAATCAGCAAACAAGCTAGCAAATAACATAATTTCAAACTTGGTAAAGAGTCTAAAAAGGAATTAAAAAGTAATGTGGCTTTTAAAAACATGTGCAAGTCTTGCTTTGTCCCCAATGATAAATTCCCAGGAGGCAAGGGCCATGTTATTTGCTAAGATTTCTGAATACCGTATGCTTAGTAAAAATGTGTTGATTTGAATTAAGCTGACTCTTTTGCTTTGCACATCACTTCATGAGTTAACAAGTGGAGCACGATCTTTGGCTCTCTCTTTCCTCTCTCCCTAACCTTCCCTGAGTTCATCATTTTCCACATTCAGAAGACACCTTTGGGCATGTAGGTAGCTTGTTCACTTTTGTTCCTATCGTCTGGATCTTTTCAGTGACAGTTTTGTTTTGTTTTGTATCAGCTATACTTCCTTATACTCTACCACACCTAAGAGTTCAATAAACATTTGATTAATTTATGCTGGGTGTTGGTTTTTTTCATGTTTTTACTTGAACTTTTGGTTGAAGCAATGGAAGACTCAGGGAGAACAATTAAGTTCAAGAGACTCAGGTTATATACTCACAGATGGTATCATAATTGATAAGCATTTTTTTTTTTAATTGTCATTGAGTCAGTTCTGACTAACGGTGACTCTGAGTGTTACCAGGTTTTCTTGGCTGTAATCTTTATGGAAGTATGTCAGCAGACCTTCTTCTATGGTGCCACTGAATAGGTCTGACCTGCTAACCTTTAGGTTTGTAGTCGAGCACACCCAGGGCCCAATGAGTAAGGATAGCTTGTGAGTTTTGTGCAATCAAGTCACCTTCCATCAATTTCCAATATATAGCCAGGAACTCAATGCCATGATAATTCCTTCTTTCCACCCTTCATCTTTGCTTTCCTTTGTACCCTGGATTCATTCTTTTTTCTCTGTGTACAATGGTTTTCTCCACATGATAAAAGAAGCTTGTAAGAACTTTACATCTTACAACCACAGCCACATACATAGAAACTGACCCAAATGTCTGTGTCTTCTGCTTTCCAAGTCTAAAAGGTCCTGAGAAAAGATGCATTGGTTTGATCGGGGTCACATACACACTCTTGGACTAATCAACTGTGGCAAGTGGGGAAAATCCTATGATTGGCCCAACTGACTTACCAGGTACCCCCTTACCCAGATTCCTGGCCAGATACTGGGGTCACAATCTACTAATATAGCTATTTCCATGAATAGGGATACGGAGCACTAATTAGAAATATGAGACCAAGCAACTAACCCCATAGATATCAACTATGTTGTTGTTGTTAAGTGCCTTCGAGTCGGTTCTGACTCAGCGACCGTGTATAGGGTTTCCAAGGCCTTTTCTTAAATCTTTGCAGGAGCGGAAAGCCTCATCCTTCTCCTGTGGAGCAGCCTGCAGGCTTGAACCACGGGCCTTGTGCTTCACAGTCTAATATTTATCATATGGGGCCACTCCACTCCCTACATATCCACTATTTGTTGTTGTACAGGGTTTCCGAGACTGTAAATCTTTACAGGAGCAGAAAGCCTCACCTTTCTCCCACGGAACAGCTGGTAGTTTCAAACTGCTGACCTTGTGGTCCGCAGCCCAATTCGTAACCACTACGCTACCAGAGCTATAGATGTTATTTAATGAGGAAAACAATAAAATAAGCTCATCACTTAGCCCACTACTTTCTTTACTCTAACCTTGTTGAGATCTTGCTAAAGTCAGCTAGCCCAGCATTCATTCCAGATATCTCAAATGGCAGCATGCATGAAATTCTTAAGACAGTTCAGCAATGACTTCTGACTTCTGTTAGTGTTTGTGTATGTTGTTGCTATTGTTGTTAAGTGCCATTAAGTCCAACTCATAGTGACTATAGGATTTTCAAGGCTGTAAATTTGCGAGAGTAGAAAGTCTTATCTTTCTCACATGGAGACGCTGGTGGGCTTGAACCACTAAGCTTGTGGTTCGAAGTCCAGTGCTTATCCTACAAAGTCCCTACAAAGTCACCGCGCTCCCCTATACTACATTTTGGAAAGCAGGTAAAATATAAAATGAAGACGTTACAAAAGCATCAAACTACCCAACAATTATATCGTTTTGAGAATTATTAACATTCTCTCCACTCTACCTTCTTGTGTCCTGTTTTGTTCCATCAATTCTATTCAGATACACATCTTGTGGGAAAAGATGCAAACAAATGTATAATTAATAGACACTTAATTAAGTCAGTTTGAACCACAATGTAGATGGTTCAAGCTCACCAGCCGCTCCTCGGAAACCATATACAGGGTTGCTATGAGTTGGAACCAACTCCATGGCACTTAACAACAACTATTATGCACTGGTGTCCTGGTGTGGCGCTGTAGGGTAAGCACTTGACCGCAAGGTGGCGGTTCAAACCCACCAGCCACTTGTGGGAAACCCTCTATAGGGTCGCTATAAGTCAAAACCAACTCGAGGGCATTTACCAACAACAACAGTTCCCTAGCACCGTGGTGCTTGCTTTGCCGTGTCCTGTCTGCTTGCCATCTATGGGTCTTTGCTTTTGACAGTTGGTGTCCCTGGCTTTTGAATATCTATGTAGAAAATGTTCTGGGAAAACTATGTCATTGACCTTCAAACAAACTGATTCACACTACAATTTTATTAGGATCAAGAAATCACTTCTTAAAAATTAGTTTATTTCCTGAGTTTAAAAATGCAGTGTAGGTAAAGGGAGAAGTCATTAATCATACATTCCAGGAATAAAGGATCCTAGAACCATCAAGAAAGAAGAGCATAAGCGGAACGTGGGACCTTAACCAGAGAAGCAGCAACACCAGAGATGGAGACAGAGATGAGGACATGGAGAGAGGGAGCAACTGAGGACTCTAGACTCCTGGAAAGAGATAGGGTGTGTGCTGGTGGTGAGTAGGCAGACTTGCAGAATATGCCCTTTGGTTGCTTAAATGGTTATATATTCCTGAATGTTTTTGTGTACATCAAAAAAAAAAAAAAAAGAGAGAGAGAGAGAGAGAATAGAAACAAAGAATGTTAAATGATGATGCATGGAAAGGATTGTAATCATTGCAAGGAAGTGAAATACTATAGGATGAGTGCAAAACTGATGTTCTCCCATGTAAATTATCACTCAATTTGCAATAAAAATTTTAAAAAATACAGTGTAGGGCAGTGAATTATTTCATATGGCTCTTCTACCCATAGTCTTTGTAACTCCTAGAAAACAACATTTTTGCCCTGATTGGTCTGGGTAAGAAAAAGTGGAAGAAGACATAGATAGGATGATATGGTGCAGTTGTGATATTTAATAGCGTTCATTGTGATTGTAAAAACTAGGAACTCTAACATGAGTTTAAAATGAGCCATCTCAGAAGCAGGAAGGGGTTTCACACTACCACCAATGGAGAGCCAGGAGTGGAGTGTGTCCCCTTTGGACTCAAGAAATCCTTGTGCATTGAACCTCTTTGGTTTGGACAGAAAGTTGTGCCCCAGAAGAGTGGTAGAGGAGTAGCAGCAGTAGAACCAAGACTCTGAGTACCAGAAAGAGCAATGGGCTTCCCATACCCACTGAGTGACTATGGGCAGGAGGCTTACTTGCAGAATGGGTTGTCTCCAGGCACTTAATTGGGGTAGGGGGACTAGGTTTGCTGACCCACGGACCTAGAGCCAAGTGCCTTAAGGCTGAGGCTTACAGTGGAGTGATGTGTCTTGTGAGCATTTATTAGCAGCCCTTAAAGAGCTTTGTAACATTGGACAAAGAGAGGTCTGCTTTGGGGCACAGCTGAGGAGAGGCTGTACTGACTGAAACAACTGTGCCCTGAGCACTTCTGATCTGAATTATAACCTATTAACTTCCCTAATAAATCCCCTAACTGTGAATCTGGTGTCTGAGTTCTGTGTGACCATTGCAATGAATTACTGAGCTCAGCTGAAAAGTAGGCAGTGCTGTGGGAGGGATATTTGGTGCGTGTATTTTGTACAGAGATTACAGAAAAGCATCTAGAAAAGAGTCGGAAGGGAAGGAGGTAAACCATGGGAAAAAAACAAAAGACTAGTGAGCTATTACATGAAAGTACTTAGTGTTAAGCCTAC